CCCCACGGTCCGCAACCGTTTCCCCCCCGCCGGCGGCAGAGAGCGCTGCGTCACTGCGGGGCCGCGTCCGGGGAGGCGCTGCGTTACCCGCCGAAAAATACGTTTTTCATTATTTGCCTCCAAGATCTGCATTTTGTCGGTTAGCTGTGAGGAAATGCTGCGCTCACAGAGCAGTCGCTTAGTTCTCAATCAGTTCCCAAACGACTGAACTAAGTATAAATAAAATTGGGCAGGAGAACACCAAGAAGCGTGCTGGAGAGAAGAGGGCTGAGCCTGTTTTCAGAGTAGCTATGGGAAAACTGAGTTATCTCAGAAACAGGTTATGCATGGACATAGTCCAGCAGTTAAAATAAACCTTGTGGTGGAGTTGGTCGGTCAGATTATTAAGTTTCGAACCTGAAAACATAATTCAGGAGGCTGTTTGCAAAGATTTCATTTCACAGTTAATGGAGAAAGGTGCTTTTGCAGGAATCAATCCAGGCCTGTTGGAGAGATCCCAGCTGTTGAGTCCCCAGGAAAAATAAAATGTCCCTGGCATCACAATTCGTAAATAATTTAAAAAAGAAAATAAATAGGAAGACCCACTGTAAGTAGCATAATGTCACTGCTACCCTCAATACAATGTTGAGGAAGAAAATATAGTCTGGGTGTCAGCAGATCAGTTACACAAACTCCTCTAGGAAGCAGCGTGACTAAGAGGGCAAGGATCAGATCAAAGACGCTGGTCTCAGAAGCGCAGCTCAAAGCCAGCAGACATATCACAGCTACAACAGGCTCGGGAAGACTCTGGAAGGGCATATTTATATTTGCTTTTCATTGTATGTCCTCCTCTCTTAAGATTGTGACAGAAGATAAAGAGGAGACAACACAGTTACAGCTGTCAGTGTTTGGATTTAATGCTTTCCTGATTTACACAGGGCCAGGTGTGTACTCAGATTTCTGATTGCTACAGTGGAGAAAAACGTGAACGCTAGAAGGAAATTTCTAGACATTAAGGATGATTAGGGATGGCTGCGCATGGAAAGGTTAACACACCTGCACAAATCCAGAGGTAGACTGGGAGACTTTCCAGGATGAATCACTCTGCCGTGCGCTGTCCTCAACAGCTCTGCAACAGCAGAGAGTGACAGCTTTATCTGAGGGAACAGTATTTTGAGGAAGAGGTAATTGGTGTGGCTTAGCAAATAAAAACAGCTGGCAATAAAGTTGTTTGAAGCACAAACTCTTCTTATACAAGCAGCTTTCTAGTCTAGTATGCACACACACATGCACACACACGCACACACATAGTGTGTATGTGAGAAGACATTATGAGTAATTATTTTAAGTACCTTGTGGCTTCCTCACATGTCAAAACAGTAAAAAACTCCTGGCTAAAGCTGAACTACCTATAATTACTGACTTCTCTTACAGATATTTCTTGATGTGAGTAGAAATCAGCGTTATAGGAAAATCACTCATCTAAGTATCATGCTAATCCCCCAAATGTAGCATAGCTGCTCCTGATCATGAGGGTTAATTTGAGATCAAAAGTGTTTGTTTCTCCTTGCCTGCTGTCACTGCCAATAGACAGGGACATTTGATTCAGACAGCACGTGACCAAAGGAAGACAGTAAAGAACAAGATTCTAGAAAGATCTTTGGAACAGAAAACAAAAACTTAGTAGCTTTCTCCAAACAATTCTTGGCTGTACTAGATTTATGTGGCCCAACAAATTCCTAAGTTATCTTAATCAAATATACTAAAATACACCAAAATTACTCCATCGTTGTAAGTAGCTCTGCCAAAGCAGGCTAAATATGCATGGATTTATGATTTTCTTTCCTATTTTCAGCTTTTTGTAATGAACTCCATAGCAAACCATGGCTATTAGATATGAATCGTTCCTGCTTTGCCCCTCTTCGCCCAGGGAACACAGGAGCTTTTTCCATCCTTGTCTCTCTTTGGATACTGCCTAGATGTCCTCGGGGCTCTTACAGATCTCCCTGTGTGTTTGCAGGGCTGTGTATTTTGTGTCTCAAGCTTCACTGTTTGACTCCAGTTACCCCACAGGAAATATTTTAGATTCAAGGATATAGCAGCCACTGCAGTTCAAGCAGGGATAATACTAAATGGGACAGTATGGAGTAAACCCATGCTATAAAACCCTGTAATTCACAGGTTACATGCTGAACCCTGTAAATACACAGCTTAAGAGACTCCAGGGACTCAGGTGGGAGTGTGTTGCATATTCAGCATTAAGGCTGTCATTAATCCTCTATACCTCTGCTGCTTCTTGAGGAAAAAATGATGAAAGTCAACATACATGAGACTGGTTGAAAAGGTGCATTCTTGCTTGATTGATACTAGACCTGTCTGAATGAGTATGATGCAAGTTTTGCGAGAGTTTGGGTTGACACATGTTAAAAAGCAGATTTCAAGATCTATCTCAAACTCTCCCAATACCAAGCTTCATGAATTTATACCAAACTATTTTTGAACCAGAACACCAGTCCCAGAACACCCCTGGCAGTGACAGGGCCCCTGAACAACCCCAAACCTGACAGTTTGGATATGGTTTTAAGGTAGAGATGTGAAATACTAAGTAGATTGTCATGAAACTCCAGGAAGCACAGCTTGAATGCAACAAGGTCAAGCTGCTTTTCAAATGTTCCCAGGTATCCAGTATCAGTGGGAAAGCTTACAAGAAAATCACACGGGGGAAAGGATTTTATGCCAAGAGCCACACTTTATCACTGACAAAAAGATTAGATCCTCCAAGATCACACTCATCAAATTAGTATTTCTGTAAAGTTTGGACATATTTGAGACAGTTTGGACTTTCGGCTCAGTGCAAATGGGAGCAAAATGTTCAAGTATGGCTTTTTTTTGGTGCAAAGAAAGATGAAACTAATGGTACTACTGAGAATTAACATAGAGAGCTATACTTGTAGCTGCTTGTCAGGGCTGTTTAACAAACTGCCAAAAGCAGTCCTACTGCCCAGTTTTCTTGACAATTTATGGAACAGCAAAGGGACTGTTCAAAGATGACATGTGATATCTAAGATACTGTTTTAGTTCAAGAGCAATGAGAAGTAGTCCAGGGCAAAATGACTCATAGCCAGCTATAGCCCCATGAAACATTATTTTTGCAGGCAAAAATCAGCAAAAGTATTGAAGAAGGTGTGAAAACAAAACAAACTTAGAGTGACAGCACAGGCCGTATCCCCTTTTAATAAGTTCATCATAAATCTAACTTTGGCATAGTCTGTATGAGAGACTTTGGTTGATGCTCCTGGAGATATCCTGAGTGCACCATGGTCCTTTGTACTTCACAGATTTCTGGAAATGCATAGACAGGATAGTTTGTCGCATGTAACAAATAAAAATGGACTGTGGAAACTGCCCAGAATCATCAATTAGACACTGCTGAAGTTACTTTAAAAATAAAAATTGCTTTAATTAATTCACAAAGAATTAAATTGCTGTCAACTTCTCAGTACAGGTTAATTATCTTCACGTTAGCTCCCTTCTAGCTTCCTTTATTAAAACAAATAAAATGCATCAATAATTGAATTTTGGCCTAAGCAGTTGAAATTCCTATTGAAGTTGATTAAAGCTGATTTGAGCCAATATGATGCTCAATTATTATTTCCAATAAAACTGGCTTAAGGTACAGTGATTACCAAATCCTTTTGCAAATGGAAAGGGAAGTTAATTTCAGTATTATCTGGATGGCATCTAAAGTCCATGAATAGTAACCCACAGAGGGAGTAAAGGCATTCTTTAGTCTCCTGACAGAAAATCCTCAGTAACCCATTCAGCAAAGAAAAGCAGAGACCAAAGAAAACAATACGGAATAGTGAAAGACCAAACTGATTTCTGTGTACGACATTTGTTTTTTTAAACACTCGGTGGTTTACTCACACATATTTCTTAACATCAACTTGAATTAGATTATGTCATTATTTAAAGGTTTCCACTGAGTATCCATTGCCTGGTGTTCCCGTCTGCCTTTCGCCTTAGGGAACTGCCACTGATTTCAATGGAAAGTTTAGTGCCTCTTCGATGGAATTTGGATGAAGTCTTTGAGGACTCTGACTTCAGCAGGTCAAGCGAGACAACCAGAAATGAGTCATTAACCTTCTGTGCCTGCATTGCTGTCTACAATTAGGAAAACATTAATCACAACACATCAGTGTAATCAAGTATCAAAGTCCACACACAGTTTGGCTGGCGCTGTTGAAATGTAAATAATATACATCTGTTGATGTTCCCTAGATTCTTGTCTTATTAAGGCAGTTGAACTCGAATACATAAACATAGGGAGCACAACATACTAAAAAGCTGTGAAACAAATCAATCCAAAGCAGAAACAAGGAAAGAGCACTTAGCTTGAAATGTGGAAAAATGATACATTTATGAAAGAACGATGTGCGTGTGTGCAGGGGACAATCACTGACTTGGAATACGTCAGCAGAGTAAGCAAGAGACCCATGTCA